CCCTCCTTCCTTCCTTCCTTCCTTCCTTCCTTCTAATCTTCCCCTCCCTATTAAAGTTACTGCGGCAGAGTGTAGTCTGTAGGCCCAAGATATGAATGCCTTATTGAAATAACACCTTGCAAAAGGACTTGGGAGAAACCTTCAACTGGATAGAAAAAAAAATGCAATAGTGCAATTATTAAACTGCTGTTAAGTGAATCTGGCTTCCCCATTGACTCTTTGCTCGTCAAAAGGTCGCAAAAGGGGATCACATGACCCCGGGACATGGCAACCATCATAAATATGAACAGGGCTTTTTTTTGTCATAGAACGCCCAGAACGACACCTTTTTTGGATGGAACCTTGTAGGGTAGGCAAGGCGGGTTGTATGACATGTGTGAGTTCCGGCACCTTTTTCTTTTTTTTTTTTTTTACAAAAAAAGCACTGAATATGAACCATGTGCCAAGCATCTAGATTTTGATCACGTGACCATGGGGCTGCTGTAAAGGTCATAACTATGAAAAATGGCCCTAAGTCACCTTTTTCAATGCCGTTGTAACTTTGAACAGTCATTAAACAAGGTCAAGGACTATCTGTACTATACATATGAAAAAAATCATTCGGAGACAAGCATGAGCGAAAGAAGTCATAAGTTTATGGTGGAACATACTACCTTTAGATTATTGACAATCCTAGCTTATCCCTCACCTCTGATTTAAAGAAGAAGGTCCAACCTTGCCTACTTAATGAATTCATCAAATTTAGAAACCACCCATCTGCCTTACAGAGGGGCTCTGTGGGTGTACAAATAAAACAGTAAAACATAAAAACAGGATACAAAATTTAAATAAGAGGCAGGGATACTTAAAAACCGAGTTCATTAAATGATTTATTATTTTAAACCCAGTGTAACTAAATGCTGAGGAAATGGATTTGGGCTTAATCATAAACAAATAAAAGTTCAGTGGCGGGAAAGAAGCTAAACCTTCATGCTTTCCAGCAGAAAAAAGAACCCTTATTAAAATAACTTTTTCTTTTCATGCACAAAAAGGTGCAGGTGAACACGTTTAAAAATACCATGGGACTTCAGCCACAGCCACGTACCTCATCCTCTGTGTCTCCTCCATGCATGGTTCCAACAATCCTTTTGCTGGGCCGCCCTAGAACACACAGTATTTGTCAGAAAGTGTAACAAAAATGTAAGCCAAGCTCTGGCAGAACTATCAATAAACAAGCTCACGGTTCATAGATGTTTCCATTGTCGGCAGAGCTATCCAAAGTAAAAATGTTCACACCTGTCAGAATGGGCACCTTTTGGGCACCTTGGGCTCAGGTTGAATTAAGATGGGCTTAAACTAAAGCAGTGTTTCTCAACCTTGACAATTTTAAGGCATGTGGACTTCAACTCCCAGAATTCCACAGCCAGCAATGCTGGCTGTGGAATTCTGGGAGTTGAAGTTCACATGCCTTAAAGTTGTCAAGGTTGAGAAACACTGAACTAAAGGAAACTGACTTGGTCTAAGACTGTTGGCCATCTACTTACAAAAGCTTTCCCAGTTAGAATCTAAAGGCAATCTTTAGAATTTTAAGCTGAGGAACCTTTTTTTAAAAAATATTTTTATTGAGTTTTATAGAGGTAATAAAGGGATAGGGTCAAAAGGGATAGGACAACGGGAAACATACAAAAGGGCTAGACCAGGGGAAAGGGGTAACACAAAAGTGGGATTAATCCCACAAAATAACATCGCTTCAGCAAGTCTTACCAGTCTGGGTTTACATATTAAATCTTAATAATTACTCTATCATTAAACAACTTTCCATATAATCATGTAAATAACAAATTAGTCAATAAATCTCATTCATTTCAGTACTTAACAATACTTAGTAATAATTAATTATAATCACTTTAAGGTAATAATATATTACATATTAATTCTAGTTTACCATATTATTAAAGATCACAAGTATACAAAAAGGAAGAAGAAGAAGAAGAAGAAGAAGAAGAAGAAGAAGAAGAAGAAGAAGAAGAAGAAGAAGAAGAAGAAAAAAAAATAAGAACAAGTTCATACAAATAATCATGGAATATAAATACAAATTGTCAATTATCTCTTTAAATTTCAATTGAGGAACCTTTTTTTACGCTGGTACAACCTGACATTGCTTTAACTCTTAAAAACCATTTTTCTCATTTGCACGGTCACGAGTACAGGCTGCACAATTCAACAATGAGCTAGCTGTGTGTCATGCCTTTGTCGGAGCCTGAATCTGCGGAGGAAAATGAGCTGGAACGGGACCCTATGGAGGTCGAGGGAGAGGGGTCTGTGGCTTCAGAGGAATGTGTGGAAGAGCAGGCAGAGGTAGGCCAGGGCCCTTCAGGATTGGGACAGGAGGAACAGGAGAGACAGAGTTCAGGCTATGAGCAAGGGCCACCCCCACCTGATCCTAGAGCACGGAGAGTGGAGAGGCTCAACTACTCGGGAGCATCCCGCCTTTCTCCACAAGGTACACCTGGAGAATGAGATTTAAGAAGACGCTGTGGGGAGAGGCATTTGTCGGGAACAAACGCTGATTCCTTGGAGTTTTGTGTGTGTTGGTGCTGATCTCTTGTTCTGTGACTTCTGTTTGGAAACCTGGAAACTCGAACTATTGGATTGACTGACCACGGTACTTGAATGTTTAAAGACCTCGGAGACTCCTTAAGTTTATGTTTTCTTCCTTGTTATCTCTATGGCCTTGAGTACTTTCTTATGCTAATCAGACTGTATTTGAACCTACTTTCAGCCAGAGTCGGCTGAAGGGGTGTGTGTGTGTTTTTATTGGAGGCTTGCCAGCAAAAGTGGGAGCATTTGGGGAAAATTTGGAGCAATAAAAGAACTGTTTGAATTGCCAGCTGGCTGCGTTGCCTCTGTGCTGTGCCCTGGGTCATCACACTGTGTTTTGAAAGCAAGTTTGGGAAGACGGGAGAGGGGCAGCATGACCCACCTTGCATGAGCATCTCCATGGCTGTGTGTTGCTTGATCAGCTGCCGGTCGTCCATGTCGCTATCCGATCCCTCATCCTCGTGAATCTCCATGTCCGAGTCGTCATGACCTGAATAAAAACAAGAACACTTCAAGTTATTAACTGGTATAAGGTTTCCTGCCTGAGCAGGGGGTTGGACTAGATGACCTCCAAGGTCCCTTCCAACTTTATCATCATCATCATCATCATCATCATCATCATCATCATCATCATCATCATCATCATCATCATCATCATCATTATTATTATTATTATTATTATTATTATTATTATTATTATTATTATTATTATTATTATTATTATTATTATTATTATTATTATTATTATGTTTCAATTTGCTTTCCCTTTTGAGTAATGCTGTGTATTCCTTTTTGGGTACTTTTGATTTTTTTCTCTCTCTCTCACACGACCAATAACACATCAGACAAATTGTCCTATCTGCATCAGGCCGAATGATATCATGCTGGGCATTTTTCATGCGTTATCTTGCACTGATTATGTTTGCAAAATCCAGCAGGCGTTTCGCTGGCTGGCGCAGACGATGCCGGTCTTGCCTGCCAGCCGGTTATTCGTCACGAAAACAGAAGGTCAAGGTTGATAAACCCCAGATGCATTTGCTGTCAACTGACCTATATAGTCTCACTCACAGATTCACATTTACACAGATTGCAGCACTGGCACTTGGGTTCGGCTTAGCCTGCCAAGACGCCCCTTGGAGAACAGCCAAGCATCTCCCCAGCCATTTCTGCTCCCCCCTCCCTTGGCAAATAAGTGATGCCATCAATTTACTTGCCCTTCTCAAAGTATCCTAAGGGAACCTGATGAACCACTGGCCACCCCCTATTACACAAGCAGGAGGGTTATTCATCACCAGGTTTTCAATTAGACAAGCCAAAATGTTTGATTTCGGAATGATACTTCTCCTGTTTGTAACGGATCCGCTCGTTCGTAAGATCTTGGCTGCTTCTCTGCCTTTTATTTGGGCTTTCCTTAAAACAAATCTGCCTCTCCTTATCCTTCTGCAATCCTAATTCAGTAATGGTAACCGTGTATCAGAGCTGGAAGGGACCTTGGAGGTCTTCTAGACCAACCCCCTGCACAAGCAGGAGACCCTACCGTCTGGATTGACTGAACTTCCAATCAGAGAAGAGCAACAAAGATGATCAGGGGACTGGAGGCTAAAGCATATAAGGAACGGCTGCTGGAATTGGGTCTGTCTAGTTTAACGAAGAGAAGGACGAGGGGGGACATGATAGCAGTCTTCCAATATCTCAGGGGCGGCCACAAATCCCCAGTGTGCAAAATAAGTCCTTCTGTAGGAGATGACCAGGCTGAGCCCGAAGGAGGGGATCAAACATGTCATAAATTCAGAGTCCCTAAGTGCCCACAAGAGATCTAAGCCCAACCCACCATGAATGACTCTCTTATCTCCCTGCTCATTTCCCTTAACCACCAGTTGGTCAGAGAGCTTAAGCCTGCAATAAATCTTTATACTCATTTGAACTGCCCGAATCTCCAGATTTCCCTGGCGTTTTGACACCTGCCTTTTCAAACTCTGGTTCCACTGCAGCAACGGGCAGACCCTACAGAGAGACCGGTCGCTTTTTTTCTGTTTCCGTTCCAGCAAAGAACAAAATGTCCTTTGCATTTACCCAAAGAACTTGCCTGTTTCTTTGGGGGGGGGGTGTGTGTGTGCCCTGGTAATCCCGATGCTGTTCTTTCCTGGAGCTTCAAATATTTCTTTAGCAAAGCGAATCCGTGAGACGCTCCTTTGAATGGCCGGCTCGGGAACGCAGTCCCCCGCCTGGATCCTTACGGCATTGCGGCTAACAAATAAACAACCCGACTGGATGTCTTGTGATAAGGAGGCGCTGTGTGGGAACCGAGATAAAGATGGCACTGGGGGAAAATTCCATATCCGGCACTTGACAGGGACCGATTTCCTTTGCGCTTCTCTCAGAAACTTATTTTGTGGCCTTAGGCAAAGGCTCATTTTTGACTGCTAGTCTAAGATGATGGGGGATGAAATCCGCCAAACGTTCTTAAAACGCAAGAATTCTGAACGTGTCCCCCCATCTGTCTCTTCTCCCTTAGGCCTTCCAATACTCTTCTTTTAAGATTTCACAGAAGGACGCCTTTTTTTCAGCAGAAAGATAAGTAAGCCAAGCAGACAGTCTCTTCGCCCACCTAAATATAGCCACGGTGAAAGAAATATTAAAGAAAAGAGGGATAAAACAGCTCCGAAGAAGGAAGGTATTAATTCACCCGCAAATTCAAGGGTATTTGCTTAAACCTTTAGTTTAAGGCATTAAGAAGCTTCACGTAGTAGATATTTGCATATCTGCAGTGTATCACTTGCCACAGTTGGACACCCCGATAATAGAGGGAGCATTTCTTTTTTCAATTGTCTGGGTGTCTGCAACAGGTTGGAATTTGAAAAAGGAATATTTCATCTCTATCAGGAAGGTCCAATTTTTGGCAACTTTAAGACTTGTGGGCTTCAACTGGCTGAGTGGGGACTTCTAGGGGCTGGAGTCTACAGGTCTTAAAGTTGCCAAGAATTGGATTGTTGTTGTTAATTGCGAAGTCGTGTCCAACCCATCGCGACCCCATGGAGGACAACTTTCCTCCAGGCCTTCCTGTCCTCTACCATTTTCTGGAGTCCATTTAAGCTCACAGCTGCTTCAGTGACTCCATCCAGCCACCTCCTTCTCTGTCATCCCCTTCTTCTCTTGCCCCCCATCTTTCCCAGCATTAGGCTCTTCTCCAGTGAGTCCTTCCTTCTCGTTAGGTGGCCAAAGTACTTGAGTTTCAACTTCAGGATCTGGCCTTCTAAAGAGCAGTCGGGGTTGATCTCCTCTAGGACTGACCGGTTTGATCACCTTGCAGTCCAGGGGACTCGCAGGAGTCTTCTCCAGCACCAGAGTTCAAAGGCCTCCATTCTTCGGCGCTCAGCATTTCTTATGGTCCAACTTTCACAGCCGTATATTGCAGCTGGGAAAACCACGGCCTTGACTATACGCACTTTTGTTGGCAGGTTGATGTCTCTGCTTTTTAATATGCTGTCTAGATTTGCCACAGCTTTCCTCCCCAGGAGCAAGCGTCTTTTAATTTCTTGGCTTCAGTCCCCATCTGTGGTGATCTTAGAGCCCAGGAAGATAAAATCTGTAAGAATTGGATACCCCTGGTTAAATGATATCAAATTCCTCTAAAATCTGTTGCCCCTCTGTATGCACGGAGCTACAATCTCCAGCTTTCCTGACAACATTGGCAGGATTTTGCAATTTAAAGTCAAGCTTCAAAGAGGGAAAGGCCTCTGGACTTCCTTGTACAGGACAGTTGTCTGTTTAGATCCAACACACCAGTGTGCAGCCAGTCATTTGTTCTGTAATTTACAGAATAGAATACAGAACAACAGAATTGGAAGGGATCTTGGAAGTCTTCTAGTCAAATCTTCTATTCAAGCAAGAGACCCTATATCATTGCAGACAAATGGGTCGCCAGTCTCTTCTTCAAAATCTCCAGTATTGAAGCACCCACAACTGTTCCACTGATTAATTCTTCTCACTGTCAGGAAATTTCTCTTTAGTTTTAGATTGGATCTCTCCTTGATAAGCTTCCACTGGTTGCTTCTTGTTTTGCCCTCAAGTGCTTTGGAGAATAGGTTCACTCCCTCTTCCCTCTTGACAGCCCCTCAAATATTGGAAGACTGCTATCATGTCACCCCCAGTCCTTCTCTTCATTAGACATACCCAATTTCCCCAACCGTTCATCGTATGTTTTATCCTCCAGTCCCCTGATCATCTTTGTTGCTCTTCTCTGCACTCTTTCCAGAGTCTCAACATCTTTATTGTGGTGACCAAACCTGGACCCAGTGTCATCTCACCAGTGCAGTATAAAGCAGTACTAACAGTTCGGGCGATCTTGATACTATCAGCGTCGAAACTTTAGTTTCTGCATCACCGAAAAAAGGCGTTGAACAGAGGAAACCCACAAGCCAATGGAAAAATCAACAAGCATGATAATATACGGCTAAATTTCCTTAATTGATCCCCTAGAGACTTTCTGTTCAGTTCAAATTAACTCTGTTTGGCAATATTAAAATTGCCCAGGTGATTCATCCGCAGGGTCTTTTGCTGACGTTTTGATGACTCAAAATGGTTGGCAGAAGCTCCCCAATAAATTATCCCAATCTATCACTAATTTTTTCCAGTCAAAAGTTATTACGTTAATAGTTTATATTGTTATCTATTTCAGTGTCCAGCTTAATTAGATCCTCCTCGAAGGGATATGTTCTAACAGAGAGATCTGATCAAGGGGCGACAAGGAAGAAAGAAGATTATTCGTTTTTCATTCCAGATTGTTAAGCTGTCCCTTGCAGGAAATAAATCAAATGAAAAAACCTGAGTAAATGAATGAGAGTTAACAGATAACAGTTTTTCACCGCGGTCTTTTCGATCAAAAATAGCTAATGTTTAGGCATGAGAGAACAGGACCCGAAAAACTTTGTGTGAATAGCAACTTTGGGAGACTCATCTACAAACCTGGATTACTTAAATGGTTAATTAATTGAGCTGAAATAATGTTACTAAAAGGTCAATTTCAATCCTGACTAGATCCAGCAATGGCTGTACATTTCCCTGCCAAGACTTATCTTCTGCAAGCTGAAGTTTTCAATCTAAGTATGTATATTTGATTAAAAGCCAAATGCATCCTCAGAAATCCGAGGGACTCCTGTGGCCCTCAAAAGCTTTGAGAAAAGCTCAGAGAGTACTTTAAAAGCCAACACTATATCATTTATGAGAGAACAATATGAGAGAAGGTGAAGAATGTTAGGTCTACGTGCTTAATTTTGTCTTTCTCCTAGCTGAGGCAAGGGTGGGGGTATAGACTGAGGGATCTGCTCTCAGATGTGGTGGAATGTAGTCTGGATTCCCCAGTGGGAGGGGCTGCTCTGCAGAGAGCAAAGAGGCAGCGAAGCTTGGATGGTCTGGTAGGCAGAAAGAGGGCAAAGACGGATAGATCCTCTAGCACAGGGGTAGTCAACCTTGGCTCTTTTATGACTCGTGGACTTCAATTCCCAGAATTCCTGAGCCAGCTTAGCTGGCTCAGGAATTCTGGGAGTTGAAGTCCACGAGTCATAAAAGAGCCAAGGTTGACTACCCCTGTTCTAGCAGTTCACAGACTGCCTCTATAATGAGGCAGATAGTTGTTTTAGTCTGGCAATGTGCTGTCTGTTGGCCAGTTATGGTGAACCTTTTAGAGACCGAGTGCCCCAAAACAGCCCTGCCTCCGCCCCGCCTGCCCATAGGGCCACCCACTGCCTCCACGGCCCACTGCAGATCACCCAGGCGGCCCAGCTGCGCCATGGTGGCCATGCCCTCCGCCCACGCCGCAGCAACTGCACGCGACAGGGCGCAAGGGCGGAGTCTTGTCCCCGCTGCCCAGCTGCCATATCCTTGGCTGCACTGCTCTGCGTGGGCTGCGCCTGGGGGCGACTCTCCTCCGGGGGGCTACTGGTGAGGGGGCCGCGGGGGGAGGCGGGACTGGGGGGACGTCGCGCCTGCCCACAGAGAGGGCTCTGAGTGCCGCCTCTGGCACGCGTGCCATAGGTTCGCCACCTCTGCTGTAGGCGAACAGCAACAAAGGTTGCAGGTAGCCCTTGACTTATAACAGTTCATTTAGTGACAATTTAAAGTTACAACAGCACTAAAAAAAAGTGACTTAAGATCACTGTTGGACAAAGTCGACAGGACTGTCCCAGTGCATGAGAAAAAATAATAATAACTTACTTCCACTCTTCAGAAGACGTTTCTCTTCCTCCTTCAGCTTATTCTGCATCAGCCGCAGAGTGTTTTCTGCTTCCTGTAGGGAAGATCGGAAAAAAAAATCAGGATGGCCAACTGATCGAGAATTCCCTCGGCTTCGGAGAGAGCCGGGATGTGAGAAGAGTTAAGACTGAAGGTTTTTGAAAGACAGCTTAGTTCCACAAAATTAAAAACACAACAACAACAAAAACCACCCTGAAAATATCAGCAGTTCCAGCAATGCTGGTGTTGGGCAAAACCGTCGTAAAATACAGTCATGCTGCAAATGGCTGTACTGAAGTCACGTGACTGGGGGGTGTGTAGAGACCATCCGAAGGGTCACACAGGTAGTCCTCAAATTACAACCATTCATTCAATGACTGCTCAAAGGTTCAATGGCATTGGAAGAGTGATTTACGACCAGGGTTCACACTTGGGGCTGCTGCAGGATCCCCACAGTGATACGATCAAGAGTGGATGCCTGGCAATTGACGTGTGCTTATGAAGGTAGCCGTGTCTCAGGATTATCATTTGCAACCTTCCCTGGGAGCTTCTGACAAGCAAAGTCAACGGGGGACGCCAGATTCACTTGACAATTGCAGCACAACGAAGGCAAAAAAGGTCACAGAATGGGACATGACTCACTTAACAACCATCTTGCTTGACAGCTGAAATTTTGGGCTCGAGTTGTGGCCGTTAAGTCGAGGACCGCCGGTATCCGGTTTCGAATCCGGGTGATGTAGTCCCCCAGGTAGATCTTGGAACTTTGAACGGCTGCTAAGCGACCAGTTGTAAGTCAAGGACTAACCGTTAAGACCATAGTCTCAAAACACTGCAGGACAATAGTCAGAATGTAAACCATGGTTTGCTTCTCTCCTTCATTAAAGGAGACCTGTAGGGAGCTAGAACAATTTAAAGGACTGCTTCATGAGAACCTACGGCTCACTTTCTGGGCAAAAATCTAGGCACAAAACAAAGCTGTAATCCTCATTAAGCACAAAACCCAGAATTTAACATGATATGCAGTCTCAGCTTACACCGTAAAAAAGAATATTAAAAAAAAAAGCTTACAAATGCAGTGAGGAAAGCATGTTGGCTAAGCTAAGAAGACGGGGGGAGGAAAAAAAAACTCAGATGCTAGAGAGATAATTAAATGCCATTTTTATTATTTCAGGGATACATGTGGAAAATATTTTATCTCCGTGGCTAGACTGTCACAATTCCTTTGCCTTCGTGATTAACCAACCACTAACAGCCAGCATTTAAAGGGAAGGAATATGTTTAAATGACTGAACTTCAAAAAAAAAAAGAGAGAGAGCCCTGGAAAAGCTTTATAATGCTCATAAAGAACTGAAGAACTGAAGTTTCATATTAAATATGTATTACTCCTAAACAAACACACACACACACACACACACACACACACACACACACAAAGATAGGCAGCAAAATCCGGAAGGTGGCGTTTCAGAAGCGTCATTCTGATACTTCAGAAAAGTTAGCGAAAAAAGTTGGCAATTGCTGAAAAGAAGGAAGAGTCTGGATGCACCAATTACTGACAACTGTCAGCACTATTTGATAGGCTACATCACACTCAGTAAGGGATGGAGTTCTAACCCAGGTAGACATAGACATAGAATTGTAGGACTGGGAGGGACCTTGGAGATCTTCTAGTCTAACCCCTTCCCAAGGCAGGAGTCCTTACACCAGGGGTAGTCAACCTTGGCTCTTTTATGACTCGTGGACTTCAACTCCCAGAATTCCTGAGCCATCTTAGCTTAGCTGGCTCAGGAATTCTGGGAGTTGAAGTCCACGAGTCATAAAAGAGCCAAGGTTGACTACCCCTGTCTTACACCATACTGGACTGCTAGTTGTCCAATTGCTTCTTGAAAACCTCCAACTTTGGAGCACCCACAACTCCAGTCGTTCTCACTGTGAGGAAATTTCTCTTTAGTTCTAAGTTGTATCTCTCTTTAATGATCTTCTCCCCGTTGCTTCTTATCCTGGCCTCAGGTGCTTTGGAGAATAGATCGGCCCCCTCTTATCTGAGACAGCCCCCCAAGTATCAGAAAGCAGCTGTCAGGTCACCCCCTAACCCTTCTCCTCATTAGACAAGACCACTCCTCACTATGTGTCTCACAAGTTTCCTGGAGCAGAAGACCACTTAAAAAAAAGTTCCTCTCTTGCTTGCAAAACAAACTTTTCATAGCTTTATGCCTCTGGTTTCTCCTGTTCATTTTGGATCACTGATTAAATCCACTCTTGCAGCATGTTTACAGTTTGAAACAGATGGGCATTTAACATCTATTAGCCTCTGTATAAATACCTAAGTAAGCTCTTAGACTGAGACGTGGGAGACTTAACGGAGAATACAATTTATCTTTTCTGCAAGCGAGAAACCTACCTGGCTGTAAAATGCCACGTTTTCCTAGCTGTCGGAATCGAAGTTACGGAGAAAATTCAAGGAATTTTTGGAGCAGGGAGATTCAGAATGTTATCACAATTGCTCCTCTGTTTTACAGAGGTTAGCAAAATGTCTACTCGAGGCTGTGTTTTTGCCAGACAGGTTGACGATAGAAAATGTGACTGACATAAATGGGGATGTTTGACTCAATTGCACTCACGTTAAGCTGTAATTTAAAGAAAAACAGATCTATAGTTCCCATTGTTCAAGCTTCTGATCTGTGATGGCCTGGCGACGATATGCAAATAAACAAAACGTGATGCACAAAAAGCAGAGTGGAACGGTGTGTTCTCTGCTCCACACATCACAGGCATTTTGCTTCTGGAAGTCCATTTTGCTCTGTGGGGAAGACAAATATCCTGAAATCTGTCAGCACAACCATGTTCCAGTTCCAACTTAATGTTCTTCAGTGCTTCTAGAATTAACAAGCCAAACTTCAAGATCTGGGCAGAACTGATCCAGTTATTGGGGGGGGGGGGGGGCGGGGGGGGGGGAGAAGAGAACCACCCAGGTTGTTTCTGGTATAAATTATATTATCTGTTTTCCTTCTTTCTTGGTCTTGCTTTAATTTGCACCATAGAAGGCTTCCAGCCTATGATAAAGCAGAAGCAGCTTTAGCAATCAGGGCTTTGACAGGTCACCGGTGAAAGCATTCATTTCTTTCTATTGATCATGTACTAATTAATAGCCTGTTTAATACCCTAGAACTCATCTCTTCAGTGTTTAAGCTGAAGAGGGAGAGGGGGAAAAAAAACAACTCCTGGAAGCGGCCGAGGTAATAAATCATTTTACAGAAAAGTATAAAAGGAGAATGCAGATTCTGGAAGTTGAATTATACTTGAGTTTGAATAGCTGTCTCCCAAAGAGGGTTAAAAAGCTGGGAACAAAGGCGGCTGCAGAATAAACAAAACGAAAACACCAGTTAGTGATCAACACCCAAAGTCGGGCAATGCACAGTCTGATTTCTCCCGTAGGATGAAGCTGCCTTCATGACTTTGGTCCAGAGTCTGCGTTGTGGTCTCTTGGTCCCTTCGAGTCACTGTGTCATGGTTCCGGCTAATGAAACACTTCCAAGAACTTCCAGGCATCGATTTTCCTAAAAGTCTTTATTTATGTGACAAAATGTCGGCACGGCATAATGAAGGATGCCAAGATCTGAAGTTCCCTTCCCTTTGCACACAACATTCCAGGCATTTCCCCTCCCCTATTTTGGGGTCATGACTCACATCTTCCAATTAACTTGGAGGACAAAGATTCACTTCCTTTCTGTTTCCCGGGCTTTTCCCTCCTCCCTCCTCTGCTCTGCATCAACTCTCAAAATACCAGACAGTTTTTGCATATTTTGTCAAAGCAAGAATATACGGTATTTGCAGCGTTGACACACTGTTGGATTCATCCAAAAAGCCGCATTGCCTTGTTCGGTTCTTCCAATTTACACAAGCCGTGGCTCCCGTGGGTTCCTTCTGCTCTACAAAAAAAAATTGGCCTTCTCCTTAGCACCCGACTTGATACAACTGAAGTTAACTTGAGAATCAATGTTACGAGCCATGGCAGCAGTGCCGAGCGGTTCTCTTTCCTTTGGTTTTGCGTCTGGGTGTGCCTCTGAGCCTTTGTTGACTCCTGGCAACAGCCTGGACAAGTCCCTGCAGTTTCCTTGGCAAAGTTTCAGAAGGTTCGCCATTGTCTTCTTCTTCCTGAACATGAGGGGCTGCCCCAAGGTCACCCTTGGGCCTAAAGTGGAACTAGAACTCATGGTTTTCCAGTCTGTAGGGCTTCTTTGCTGAGGGAACCCCAAATATTTGAACTTCTTCTGTATGCCCTAGGCCAGGGGTAGGCAACCTTGGCTCTTTTATGACTCGTGGACTTCAACTCCCAGAATTCCTGAGCCAGCATGGCTCAGCTTGGAAACCTCTCCCTTTCCCCTCAGCATGGCTGGTTCAGGAATTCTGGGAGTTGAAGTCCACGAGTCATAAAAGAGCCAAGGTTGCCTACCCCTGCCCTAGGCCAGAAGTAGGCAGCCTTGGCTCTTTTATGATTCATGGACTTCAACTCCCAGAATTCCTGAGCCAGCATGGCTCAGCATGGAAACCTCTCCCTTTCCCCTCAGCGTGGCTGGCTCAGGAATTCTGGGAGTTGAAGTCCACGAGTCATAAAAGAGCCAAGGTTGCCTACCCCTGACCTAGGCATAAAGATTTATGGTGAAAACTGCTACTCGCTCTGCAAACCTTGGCCGTATCTATATGAAAGGTGGGCAAATACAACTGGGAAGAGTGAGCAGGCGAAGCAGAGTGACTAATGTCTTAAAGCTGCTTTTTCAAAAAGCAACTAGACTGTTTTTTCCATGAGGAGGAAGAAGAAGACATGTTGCTTCTCATCCAAGAAACTTGGAAACATCATCTTCTTCCTCAAGGGAAAAAAAACTTCCTTAAACATCCGTAAACATAAACATTTAATCTAAATGTTCTTTAGTTGAAGAACATTTAATTAAACATGGAAGGCCTGGAGATTAAAACATACGATGAACGGTTGCAGGAATTGGGTATGGCTAGTCTAGAGAAAAGAAGGAGTAGGGGTGACATGATGGCAATGTTCCAGTATATGAGGGGCTGCCAAAGATATGAGGGGATCAACCTATTTTCCAAAGCCCCAGAAGGCAAGACAAGAAACCATGGATGGAAACTAGTCAAGGAGAGAAGCAACCTAGAACTAAGGAGAAACTTCCTAACAGTGAGAACAATTAACCAGTGGAACAGCTTGCCTTCAAAAGTTGTGAGTGCTCCATCACTGAAGGTTTTTAAGAAGAGATGGGACAGTCACCTGTCTGGAATGGTATAGGCCAGAGGTAGGCAACCTTGGCTCTTTTATGACTCGTGGACTTCAACTCCCAGAATTCCTGAGCCAGCATGGCTAAGCATGGAAACCTCTCCCTTTCCCCTCAGTATGGCTGGCTCAGGAATTCTGGGAGTTGAAGTCCACGAGTCATAAAAGAGCCAAGGTTGCCTACCCCTGCCCTAGGCCAGAAGTAGGCAGCCATGGCTCTTTTATGATTCGTGGACTTCAACTCCCAAAATTCCTGAGCCAGCATGGCTAAGCATGGAAACCTCTCCCTTTCCCCTCAGCATGGCTGGCTCAGGAATTCTGGAAGTTGAAGTCCACGAGTCATAAAAGAGCCAAGGTTGCCTACCTCTGGTATAGGGTCTCCTGCTTAAAACATGTCCTTAAAACATCCTTAGCACTTTCACCAAAATAGTCAAAGAGAAGGAGAGCCGGAGGAGCTGATACTTCTTGCTTCTTTGCAACTCCTTGTAGGCTTCCCTTCCCTTACACACTCAATGACCCAAGAGATACTCTTCGTATCCTCACAGCTCAATCCAGAAGGGCCTCTAGTTTTCGCAATCCTTCCTCATTTAACATGCCAGAGCAAGAAACACAAATCTTATGCAGCAACTCAAGAGTGACAAGCACAGAGTCCAGGGAAGAAGATGGAAATGCCAAATTCCAACTCACAAAAGTTTTTTGTTTTGTTTTTTTGCTTGAACAGAATGTCTCCTCAGACACAAAGAGCTTTAAATTTAAAATTATGTCTGGGAGAGAAGGTCAACAGGGATGGGAACAAGAGGTAAATGCTGGTAACTGAGATCAGAAAACCACACTGTTGTCGCTTGTTTGTTTTTTGTTTGTTTTTTTAAAAAAAGAATCACTCAGGGACTACAATGTGTTTACCAGTGTACGTTTCTCATAATGAGTACTTCTTTTCAATGGCCCACTCTTTGCAAAGCTTTTCAATCCAGGGACGTCTCCAATTAAATCGAGTGTGTTTTCCATTGTATCCGAAATTGCTTCAACAGGTCTCCTATTTATTTGCTTACTTTTCTCCCTGGAGCTGGTGAAAGTATGAATTGTAATGATTCAATCAAAGCTCGTTTGCTATTCTCCCGATGCGTTGAAAAGTTCTACGGCGTTAGTTTACTTGGGTGAGCTGGTTGAATGCACAGGCTTTATATGAATACGCTGATGAGTCCGTGGGATAAAAACCTGGGAACATTTTGCAATGTTTGAGAGAGTTTGTCAGGCAAATTAATTCTGACGGAGGACTTAGTTGAACAGCTGGGTCTGCTGAGAGCCAGCTAAAAGAAATCTTGCTAGCTTAGGATGTCACGGTTATCTTGGTGCATATCAGAAGGGACATCTGTGCATCTGGGACAGGCCGAGACGAGGAGTTAGGGTGGGAGAGAGAATTGTGAACACTGGGATTGGAAGACCTTATTTTATGTGCATTGTTTCCCACTGGGTTCTAACACGGAGCATTCACTGTTAGCAACTCCCTTTTTACAACCCAATAATCCCTTAATTCGGGGGAGAGTCGGGACGACTGGATGGAGCTAAGCATTAGAGCCTTCAATGCCACATTTAATTTTTAAATTTTTTCCTCGTTCTCTCTTTCCTCTTCTCTTTCTCTCTCTCTTTCTCTTTCCTATTTCTGTTTCCTCTATCTATTTCTCTCTCTCTCCCTCTCTTTCTCTCTCTCTTTCCTCTCTCTCTTTCCTCTTTCTCTTTCCTCTTTCTCTCTCTCTTTCTTCTTTCTTTCTTCTCTCTCTCTCTTCTCTTTCTTTCTCTTTCCTCTCTCTCTTTCTCTCTCTCTCCCCCTCTCTTTCTCTCTCTTTCCTCTTTCCTCTTTCTCTCTCTCTTTCTTCTTTCTCTTTCTTCTCTCTCTCTCTTCTCTCTCTCTCTTTCTTTCCTCTCTCTCTTTCTCTCTCTCTCTCCCTCTCTTTCTCTCTCTCTTTCCTCTCTCTCTTTCCTCTTTCTCTCTCTTCTCCTCTTTCTCTTTCCTCTTTTTCTCTTTCTTCTCTATAATTCTATCTCTTTCTTCTCTCTCTCTTTGTCGGGGAGAGTCGGGACGACTGGATGGAGCTAAGCATTAGAGCCTTCCATGCCACATTATGGAGCATCTGTTAATGTCATATCCCAAGACTCTGAGAAATACCTTCTTAGCAATTACAGGTGGTCCTCGAGTTACGGCCACAATTGAGCCCCAAATTTATGTTGCTCAGTGAAACATTTGTTAAGTGAATTTTGCCCCATTTTTACAAGAAAGGCAAGTGAGTGACCACATTTGTGAAGTTAGTAACCCCGTTGTTAAGTGGATCTGGCTTCCCCCATTGACTCTGCTTGTCAGAAAGCCGCCAAAGGGGATCACGTGACCCTGGGACACGGCAACCATCATAAACAGGAGTCGCTTGCCAAGCATCCGAATTTTGATCACGTGAGCCTGGGAAGAGAAACTTTTCAAAAGCTGGTTGCGTGTAATCCAGAGGGTCTCAGCTGGATGACAAAATATTTGCTCACTCTTTGGGTCTCTCTTTCCAATTAAAAAGGTAATCTATCCAATATCACCAGCTGCGGCATAAAAGCAAAGAACGCAACGCATTGTATTTGCCAAGCGTTTTAGAGATTAGAAGTAGATCACCTTATAAACATTCATTTCTCCCCCCAGGCAAGGAGAAAAAAAAAGGCACCATTTCTTAAAAGCACTCCAGGAAAACAAACACATCACCAAGTATCTTGATCCTCTCAAGAAATAGAGGCCAGAGGATGTTATTTTCTTCGCACTAGGTTTACTAAAGTTTTTGCTAAACTGGCAAAAAAAGGCAATTCAGAACTAAGAATACCAGCAAAGGTCCATTACAAAGATTGCAATTTAAATGTCTAATTTCTTTGTTAATATGAAGAAGGAGACAATGATTACAAAGGACTGTAGTGCAGTTCCAAAAATGGCTGGAATAAGTGACTTCCCAGCCTTGGCAGTAAAAATGTCTGGCAAATATGTTGAAGAGGTAAGCAATTACTATGACGAAAAGAAAAAAAAAAGCTATTTTTTCAAACCCCTGGCCATCTTTAAAACCTCATTTTAAAGACATTCAGGGATGAAGATTCCAAAGTACCTTTAAGTTATTTGAAGGAAGCACCTGAATTTTTAATTGCAAAATTCTTCTATAAATGTATTGATACCCTTAAAGTTACAAATAATGTAGAAAAAACCCCATAAGAACACAATCTGTAAGTTCCATCAACTTAACTAAAGCTGCATATTAAAAGAAAACAAACATAATATAGACCAACTACTTATAATAAGAATTAAGGACATCTAAGTTTATGTAAGAGTACAATATAAACATATTAAGTCTGTATTTTGTGCCTGTGTTTTGTTTTCTATCTATAGTTCCCAATTGGAAAGCTGAAACTATAATGCATAGACACACTAGTGTAAGATTAAAAGTAGTAGTTCCCTTAGTTTATAAAGGAATATATTGTTGTGAAATTAGGAGGTTTTTAAATGCAACTAGGCAAGGTTTAATGTGCCAAAGATGTATTTCACTGCAGAAAGTAAGCTATTGGCTTGGAGAGGTAAAATAATTAACTTACCCATCCCGAAGCATTTCTGTAATTCCTTAAAGTGTCTGTAGGTAATTTTTTTAAATAAAAAGCTTGAAAGATGAATTACATAACTAGAATCCAGTGCATGGGTCAATGTACTTTACTATAATCCTGGAGAAAACAGTGCTCACAATTACAAATGGCTCTGCTGTAACTCCATTTATTCCACCGTGTCTCTCATCACCCAGGTGTTATCTTATAATTTTATTTTTATGAATTTGGCTATTCTTTGAAAAGAGGGCAGTTCTTAAAAAAATGGAAATCAGTATCCTGAGGACTACAGAATATAGAATCAAGCTCCAACACTGAATATATCCAACAAGTAGGATAAAACAGCAGATAACAGACTGGTGTTCAGGGACATACATGGTAGAAATTATGACTAAAGCGGTTCAAGTACAGTCATTTATTTAGAAACGCTCACCTCAAATCTCTCTTGCTCCATGCGATGTTGGTCATCCAGCTGCTGTTCCAGGTACGTCAAGTTACGAAATTTCTCCACGTAATAGCTATATTGTTTCTGCAACTCCTCCTCAATTTTCTCATATTCATCCATAAAGGCAGGGCTGGTAAGGACAAAAAAGGTGGATTCATACATTGCTCTAAGCTATGATTTATTTAATCATGATTTATTGGGTTATAACTGGCTGTGATGTTACTAGAGCAATGATCCCAACCTTTCCGGCTTGGGGGGGGGGAAGGAGAGAAGAGGGGATGGTTCCATGTGAGCGGCAGGCGTGTGCACAAGTGGAGCTGTGTACGTGTGCTCGCCCACCGCTTGTGTGGCCTGGTTCCGAACCAGGGGGACCCCTGACCTACAGCACCGATGATGCTAGCTAGTTTGGGTAATGAAACGTCTGCAAGAAAACAACCAACTCAGACAGCAACAAGGACCCCTCAAAATATGTAGCCTGGCTGACAAGCAGCCGCCAATTCTTCATTGCCCAACTTCAGGTGGACCCGTCTGAAAGGCCAGAAACACGACTGGAGTTCCTGGGGGGCTGTGAAGTCGGCAAAGAGAACAGCTGAAGCCCCAATGAGTTGGTGGGGGGCCATCGGCTGCTAAAAACAAATTGCCGGCTGAAAAGATCCCATTTTTTTTTTAAATCATTTGTGGTGGGGATTAAAACTCATTACAATAAAAAGCTTAAGCCAAAATGACTGAGTAAAGCTCGGAGTAGGCTACGCTTGTTCATTTGGACAGATGATAAGACGAGACAAGACAAGACAAGACAAAAAGACAAAAAAGATAAAAGATGGTAAAAGGCAAGATGACAAGATAACAGATAAAAGACAAGAGATGAGACAAGAGATAAGATAAAATGAGATGAGGTTAACCTTTATTGTCATTTTTTATTGTGAGCACACTGGCACACATTAAAAAAATGAAATTCTGATGTATATATACACCCATACACATATGCTATATATATGTACATGTATGTGTGTGTGTGTGTGTATACACACACACACACACACACACACATATACACACACACACGCTCTTAAGCGGGACAGAGAGGAACTCGGCTCCTACCGAACACTCTGCAGGGTTTGCAGCCGCTTGTGGTTTCTCTCTAGCTCGGATTTCCTCTTTTCGATCTTGGCCTCCAAACTGGCTTCATCAGAAGCCACGTTGCTCAGCATGTCGTTGGTCTTCTGGACTTGCTCCTACAAAAAGAAGGAAGAAGGAGAA